CTGTTCAGTGTGTCACGTGTGTGTAACCCGCTGTTCAGTGTGTCACTCGTGTGTAACCCGCTGATCGGTGTGTCACGCGTGTGTAACCCGCTGATCGATGTGTAATGCGTGTGTAACCCGCTGATCGGTGTGTCACGTGTGTGTAACCCGCTGATCGGTGTGTCACGTGTGTGTAACCCGCTGTTCAGTGTGTCAGGCGTGTGTAACCCGCTGTTCAGTGTGTCAGGCGTGTGTAACCCGCTGTTCAGTGTGTCACTCGTGTGTAACCCGCTGTTCAGTGTGTCAGGCGTGTGTAACCCGCTGATCGGAGTGACGCGTGTGTAACCCGCTGATCGGTGTGTCACGCGTGTGTAACCCGCTGATCGGTGTGTCACTCGTGTGTAACCCGCTGATCGGTGTGTCACGCGTGTGTAACCCGCTGTTCAGTGTGTCACTCGTGTGTAACCCGCTGATCGGTGTGTCACGCGTGTGTAACCCGCTGTTCAGTGTGTCAGGCGTGTGTAACCCGCTGATCGGTGTGTCACTCGTGTGTAACCCGCTGTTCAGTGTGTCAGGCGTGTGTAACCCGCTGTTCAGTGTGTCAGGCGTGTGTAACCCGCTGTTCAGTGTGTCAGGCGTGTGTAACCCGCTGTTCAGTGTGTCACTCGTGTGTAACCCGCTGATCGGTGTGTCACGCGTGTGTAACCCGCTGATCGGTGTCACTCGTGTGTAACCCGCTGATCGGTGTCACGCGTGTGTAACCCGCTGTTCAGTGTGTCAGGCGTGTGTAACCCGCTGTTCAGTGTGTCAGGCGTGTGTAACCCGCTGATCAGTGTGTCAGGCGTGTGTAACCCGCTGATCAGTATCAGGTGTGTGTAGCTCGCTGTTCAGTGTGTCAGGCGTGTGTAACCCGCTGATCAGTATCAGGTGTGTGTAGCTCGCTGTTCAGTGTGTCAGGCGTGTGTAACTCGCAGATCAGTGAGTCACTCGTGTGTAACCCGCTGATCAGTATCAGGTGTGTGTAACTCGCTGTTCAGTGTGTCAGGCGTGTGTAACTCGCAGATCAGTGTGTCAGGCGTGTGTAACCCGCTGATCAGTATCAGGTGTGTGTAGCTCGCTGTTCAGTGTGTCAGGCGTGTGTAACTCGCAGATCAGTGTGTCAGGCGTGTGTAACCCGCTGATCAGTATCAGGTGTGTGTAGCTCGCTGTTCAGTGTGTCAGGCATGTGTAACCCGCTGATCAGTATCAGGTGTGTGTAGCTCGCTGTTCAGTGTGTCAGGCGTGTGTAACCCGCTGATCAGTATCAGGTGTGTGTAACCCGCTGTTCAGTGTGTCAGGCGTGTGTAACTCGCAGATCAGTGTGTCACTCGTGTGTAACCCGCTGATCAGTATCAGGTGTGTGTAGCTCGCTGTTCAGTGTGTCAGGCGTGTGTAACTTGCTGATCAGTATCAGGTGTGTGTAGCTCGCTGTTCAGTGTGTCAGGCGTGTGTAACCCGCTGATCAGTATCAGGTGTGTGTAGCTCGCTGTTCAGTGTGTCACTCGTGTGTAACCCGCTGATCAGTATCAGGTGTGTGTAGCTCGCTGATCAGTGTGTCAGGCGTGTGTAACCCGCTGATCAGTATCAGGTGTGTGTAGCTCGCTGTTCAGTGTGTCACTCGTGTGTAACCCGCTGATCAGTATCAGGTGTGTGTAACTCGCAGATCAGTGTGTCAGGCGTGTGTAACCCGCTGATCAGTATCAGGTGTGTGTAGCTCGCTGATCAGTGTGTCAGGCGTGTGTAACCCGCTGATCAGTATCAGGTGTGTGTAGCTCGCTGTTCAGTGTGTCACTCGTGTGTAACCCGCTGATCAGTATCAGGTGTGTGTAGCTCGCTGATCAGTGTGTCAGGCGTGTGTAACCCGCTGATCAGTATCAGGTGTGTGTAGCTCGCTGTTCAGTGTGTCACTCGTGTGTAACCCGCTGATCAGTATCAGGTGTGTGTAGCTCGCTGATCAGTGTGTCAGGCGTGTGTAACTCGCAGATCAGTGTGTCAGGCGTGTGTAACCCGCTGATCAGTATCAGGTGTGTGTAGCTCGCTGTTCAGTGTGTCAGGCGTGTGTAACCCGCTGATCAGTATCAGGTGTGTGTAGCTCGCTGATCAGTGTGTCAGGCGTGTGTAACTCGCTGTTCAGTGTGTCAGGCGTGTGTAACTCGCTGTTCAGTGTGTCAGGCGTGTGTAACTCGCTGTTCAGTGTGTCAGGCGTGTGTAACTCGCTGTTCAGTGTGTCAGGCGTGTGTAACTCGCTGTTCAGTGTGTCAGGCGTGTGTAACTCGCTGTTCAGTGTGTCAGGCGTGTGTAACTCGCTGTTCAGTGTGTCAGGCGTGTGTAACTCGCTGATCAGTGTGTCAGGCGTGTGTAACCCGCTGATCAGTATCAGGTGTGTGTAACTCGCAGATCAGTGTGTCAGGCGTGTGTAACCCGCTGATCAGTATCAGGTGTGTGTAGCTCGCTGTTCAGTGTGTCAGGCGTGTGTAACTCGCTGTTCAGTGTGTCAGGCGTGTGTAACTCGCTGTTCAGTGTGTCAGGCGTGTGTAACTCGCTGTTCAGTGTGTCAGGCGTGTGTAACTCGCTGTTCAGTGTGTCAGGCGTGTGTAACTCGCTGTTCAGTGTGTCAGGCGTGTGTAACTCGCTGTTCAGTGTGTCAGGCGTGTGTAACTCGCTGATCAGTGTGTCAGGCGTGTGTAACCCGCTGATCAGTATCAGGTGTGTGTAGCTCGCTGATCAGTGTGTCACGCGTGTGTAACTCGCTGTTCAGTGTGTCAGGCGTGTGTAACCCGCTGTTCAGTGTGTCAGGCGTGTGTAACTCGCTGATCAGTGTGTCAGGCGTGTGTAACCCGCTGATCAGTATCAGGTGTGTGTAACTCGCAGATCAGTGTGTCAGGCGTGTGTAACCCGCTGATCAGTATCAGGTGTGTGTAGCTCGCTGATCAGTGTGTCACGCGTGTGTAACTCGCTGTTCAGTGTGTCAGGCGTGTGTAACTCGCTGTTCAGTGTGTCAGGCGTGTGTAACCCGCTGTTCAGTGTGTCAGGCGTGTGTAACCCGCTGATCAGTATCAGGTGTGTGTAGCTCGCTGATCAGTGTGTCAGGCGTGTGTAACCCGCTGATCAGTATCAGGTGTGTGTAACTCGCAGATCAGTGTGTCAGGCGTGTGTAACCCGCTGATCAGTATCAGGTGTGTGTAGCTCGCTGTTCAGTGTGTCAGGCGTGTGTAACTCGCTGTTCAGTGTGTCAGGCGTGTGTAACTCGCTGATCAGTGTGTCAGGCGTGTGTAACCCGCTGATCAGTATCAGGTGTGTGTAGCTCGCTGATCAGTGTGTCACGCGTGTGTGTAACCTGCTGATCAGTGTGTCAGGCGTGTGTAACTCGCTGTTCAGTGTGTCAGGCGTGTGTAACTCGCTGTTCAGTGTGTCAGGCGTGTGTAACTCGCTGTTCAGTGTGTCAGGCGTGTGTAACCCGCTGTTCAGTGTGTCAGGCGTGTGTAACTCGCAGATCAGTGTGTCACTCGTGTGTAACCCGCTGATCAGTATCAGGTGTGTGTAGCTCGCTGATCAGTGTGTCAGGTGTGTGTAGCTCGCTGATCAGTGTGTCACGCGTGTGTAACCCGCTGTTAAGTGTGTCACGCGTGTGTAACCTGCTGATCAGTGTGTCACGCGTGTGTGTAACCTGCTGATCAGTGTGTCACTCGTGTGTAACCTGCTGATCAGTGTGTCACGCGTGTGTGTAACCTGCTGATCGGTGTCACGCGTGTGTAACCTGCTGATCAGTGTGTCACGCGTGTGTGTAACCTGCTGATCAGTGTGTCACGCGTGTGTAACCCGCTGTTAAGTGTGTCACGCGTGTGTAACCTGCTGATCAGTGTGTCACGCGTGTGTGTAACCTGCTGATCAGTGTGTCACGCGTGTGTAACCCGCTGATCAGTGTGTCACGCGTGTGTGTAACCTGCTGATCAGTGTGTCACGCGTGTGTGTAACCCGCTGATCAGTGTGTCACGCGTGTGTAACCCGCTGATCAGTGTGTCACGCGTGTGTGTAACCCGCTGATCAGTGTGTCACGCGTGTGTGTAACCTGCTGATCGGTGTCACGTGTGTGTAACCCGCTGTTAAGTGTGTCACGTGTGTGTAACCCGCTGATCAGTGTGTCACGCGTGTGTGTAACCTGCTGATCGGTGTCACGTGTGTGTAACCCGCTGTTAAGTGTGTCACGCGTGTGTAACCCGCTGATCAGTGTGTCACGCGTGTGTGTAACCTGCTGATCAGTGTGTCACTCGTGTGTAACCCGCTGATCAGTGTGTCACGCGTGTGTGTAACCTGCTGATCGGTGTCACGTGTGTGTAACCCGCTGTTAAGTGTGTCACGCGTGTGTAACCCGCTGATCAGTGTGTCACGCGTGTGTGTAACCTGCTGATCAATGTGTCACGCGTGTGTGTAACCTGCTGATCAATGTGTCACGCGTGTGTGTAACCTGCTGATCAGTGTGTCACGCGTGTGTGTAACCCGCTGATCAGTGTGTCACACGTGTGTGTAACCTGCTGATCAATGTGTCACGCGTGTGTGTAACCTGCTGATCAATGTGTCACGCGTGTGTGTAACCTGCTGATCAATGTGTCACGCGTGTGTGTAACCTGCTGATCAATGTCACGCGTGTGTGTAACCTGCTGATCAATGTGTCACGCGTGTGTGTAACCCGCTGTTAAGTGTGTCACGCGTGTGTGTAACCTGCTGATCAGTGTGTCACGCGTGTGTGTAACCTGCTAATCAATGTGTCACGCGTGTGTGTAACCTGCTGATCAATGTGTCACGCGTGTGTGTAACCTGCTGATCAATGTGTCACGCGTGTGTGTAACCTGCTGATCAGTGTGTCACGCGTGTGTGTAACCTGCTAATCAATGTGTCACGCGTGTGTGTAACCTGCTGATCAATGTGTCACGCGTGTGTGTAACCTGCTGATCAGTGTGTCACGCGTGTGTTTCCTAATAAAGGCTCCCCGGAGACTCTCGCACGAAGATCGGCTTCATCACGTTTGACAGCACCATCCACTTCTACAACCTGCAGGAAGGGCTGTCGCAGCCGCAGATGCTCGTCGTGTCAGACATCGACGGTAAGATGCTGTTTCCCATCAGCAAACGCAGATGATGTTCAGTGATGTTCGGAAGTGACACGGCTCTGTTCCTCCTCAGATGTGTTCCTGCCGACTCCAGACAGCCTGTTAGTGAACCTGAGCGAGTGCAAGGAGGTGAGCGAGCGCTCGGGTTCATCCTATTCAATTCACATTATTTCCAGTCCTTGATTCTGATTGGTCAATAACTGTGTTTTATTCACGACAACACACGGCTATGACCGCCTCACCCAACGGTTCTCTGTATCACTACACAACACCCCTAGCAACCACTCTTAGCATCGCAAACATATGTTCTCATTGATATTGTTCATTGAAGCTTATCGAGTGAGTATTGTGAGAGATCGAGTAAGTGTGTGTACCTGCATTTGCAGTAAATATAGTATTTCCTTCAGGTCAGTCCTATATTCATAATTAAATATCCGTTTGAATGTCCGCTGCGATATCTTGTCCTTTTAACAGTTAAGGTTTTTTTCCCCTTCGTGAAACGCTAGTCATTTGTCAGTTGTGTCTTGCTTCTTGCTTCAGGGACTATTTTTTTCCAGCGGAGGGAAGCCTTTTAGTGAGTTTACTTAATATAAATCGCATTGATACATATTTTTTTGGCTTTAATATTTGTATTGTGTGGTAACCGTTTTATAATATTAATATTACCGTTTTTACGTATAGCGCTTTTCACAATACACATCGTTTCAAAGCAGCTTTACAGAAAATGCATGAGTCCGCATTACAGTTTAGAGTGATCTGTTATCAGAGGAGACTGAGTAATGGATTTCAGAAATGTACATATACAAATCACAGAGTTACCTAAAAATGTATTAATGTAAACACTAATAATTCAAGGCAGAAACAATGAGCTCATTGAAGTAATGAATACATGTTTGTTAACAAACGACGTGCCCCAGCGATTGGATGGAGTGAAGCGTGTGTTGCAGCTGGTCCAGGATCTGCTGATGGGTTTGCTTCAGATGTTCAGCGTGTGTGTGTGTGTTGCAGCTGGTCCAGGACCTGCTGACGGGTCTGCCGCAGATGTTCAGCAGGACGATGGAGACTCAGTCTGGTCTGGGTCCGGCGCTCCAGGCCGGGTTTAAGCTTCTGTCTCCCACCGGCGGGCGCATCTCAGTCTTCCAGACACAACTGCCCACTGTGGGCATCGGTGCCCTCAAACCCCGAGAGGAGCCCAGCCAGAAGGCACACGCCAAGGTCACACACACACACACACACACCACTGTCAGACTGAGTCATTGATGGATTGGCTTCATTTTCACTGGCACACAATTAGCTGTTTTAGCAACTCTTCAATTTTACAACACTTTATTACTGTTAGCACTTTATTTTACGGTCCTGTTCCCCCTGTACTTATTATAGTAACTGCAAAAACTGGGTAATAACCCTGAACTTTCCCCTGAACCTGACCTTAAAGGGATAGTTCACCCAAAAATGAAAATTATCCCATGATTTACTCTCCCTCAAGTCATCCTAGGTGTGTATGACTTTCTTCTTTCAGACAAATACAATCAGAGTTATATTAAAAAATATCCTGGCTCTTCCAAGCTTTATAATGGCAGTGAATGGCTTTATATGTTTTGAAGATCATAAAAGTGCATCTATCCATGATAAAAGTGCATCTATCCGTGATAAAAGTGCATCTATCATCATAAAAGTGCATCCATCCATCAAAAAAGTTCATCCGTCCATCATAAAAGTGCATCTGTCCATCAAAAAAGTGCATCTTTCCATCATAAAAGTGCATCTATCATCGTAAAAGTGCATTTGTCCATCATAAAAGTGCACTTTTATCATGGAGAGATGCACTTTTATGGACTTCAAAACATAAAGCCATTGACTGCCATTATAAAGCTTGGAAGAGCCAGGACATTTTTTTTATATAACTCTGATTGTATTTGTCTGAAAGAAGAGTGTCATATACACCTAGGATGGCTTGAGGGTGAGTAAATCATGGGGTAACTTTCAGTTTTGGGTGAACTATCCCTTTAACCCATGTAGTCAGCTTATAGTACTCAGTATTTCTTAGGCAAATACACTGTAAGTGTACGTACTGCCAAATAAAGTACAACCATTACTTGTATAAAAGTTTATCATGTGCAATACTATATGTTAATGTAACTCCGTATTGGACACTGAACAGGAAGTTTGAGTCCTCGAAGGGAAAGTTAAAGCTGTTGTTGGTCACTGCAGGAGGTCCAGCATCTGAACCCGGCAACGGACTTCTATAAGAAGCTGGCTCTGGACTGCTCCGGCCATCATGTGGCGGTGGACCTGTTCCTGCTCAGCGCGCAGTACTGCGACCTGTCCTCTCTAGGTCAGTCTAACCCTCTGCGACCTGTCCTCTCTGGGTCAGTCTAGCCTCTGCGACCTGTCCTCTCTGGGTCAGTCTAACCTCTGCGACCTGTCCTCTCTGGGTCAGTCTAGCCTCTGCGACCTGTCCTCTCTGGGTCAGTCTAACCTCTGCGAACTGTCCTCTAGTCTAGCCTCTGCGACCTGTCCTCTCTGGGTCAGTCTAACCTCTGCGACCTGTCCTCTCTAGGTCAGTCTAACCTCTGCGACCTGTCCTCTCTAGGTCAGTCTAGCCTCTGCGAACTGTCCTCTCTAGGTCAGTCTAACCTCTGCGACCTGTCCTCTCTAGGTCAGTCTAGCCTCTGCGACCTGTCCTCTCTAGGTCAGTCTAGCCTCTGCGACCTGTCCTCTCTAGGTCAGTCTAGCCTCTGCGACCTGTCCTCTCTAGGTCAGTCTAACCTCTGCGACCTGTCCTCTCTAGGTCAGTCTAGCCTCTGCGACCTGTCCTCTCTAGGTCAGTCTAGCCTCTGCGACCTGTCCTCTCTAGGTCAGTCTAGCCTCTGCGACCTGTCCTCTCTAGGTCAGTCTAACCTCTGCGACCTGTCCTCTCTAGGTCAGTCTAGCCTCTGCGACCTGTCCTCTCTAGGTCAGTCTAACCTCTGCGAACTGTCCTCTCTAGGTCAGTCTAGCCTCTGCGACCTGTCCTCACTAGGTCAGTCTAACCTCTGCGAACTGTCCTCTCTGGGTCAGTCTAACCTCTGCGACTTGTCCTCTCTAGGTCAGTCTAGCCTCTGCGACCTGTCCTCTCTAGGTCAGTCTAGCCTCTGCGACCTGTCCTCTCTAGGTCAGTCTAACCTCTGCGACCTGTCCTCTCTAGGTCAGTCTAGCCTCTGCGACCTGTCCTCTCTAGGTCAGTCTAGCCTCTGCGACCTGTCCTCTCTGGGTCAGTGTAGCCTCTGCGACCTGTCCTCTCTAGGTCAGTCTAGCCTCTGCGACCTGTCCTCTCTAGGTCAGTCTAGCCTCTGCGACCTGTCCTCTCTAGGTCAGTCTAGCCTCTGCGACCTGTCCTCTCTAGGTCAGTCTAACCTCTGCGACCTGTCCTCTCTAGGTCAGTCTAGCCTCTGCGACCTGTCCTCTCTAGGTCAGTCTAACCTCTGCGAACTGTCCTCTCTGGGTCAGTCTAACCTCTGCGACTTGTCCTCTCTAGGTCAGTCTAGCCTCTGCGACCTGTCCTCTCTAGGTCAGTCTAACCTCTGCGACCTGTCCTCTCTAGGTCAGTCTAGCCTCTGCGAACTGTCCTCTCTAGGTCAGTCTAACCTCTGCGAACTGTCCTCTCTAGGTCAGTCTAGCCTCTGCGACCTGTCCTCTCTAGGTCAGTCTAGCCTCTGCGACCTGTCCTCTCTAGGTCAGTCTAGCCTCTGCGACCTGTCCTCTCTAGGTCAGTCTAATCTCTGCGACCTGTCCTCTCTAGTTCAGTCTAACCTCTGCGACTTTTCCTCTCTAGGTCAGTCTAGCCTCTGCGACCTGTCCTCTCTAGGTCAGTCTAGCCTCTGCGAACTGTCCTCTCTAGGTCAGTCTAGCCTCTGCGACCTGTCCTCTCTGGGTCAGTCTAGCCTCTGCGACCTGTCCTCTCTAGGTCAGTCTAGCCTCTGCGACCTGTCCTCTCTAGGTCAGTCTAGCCTCTGCGACCTGTCCTCTCTAGGTCAGTCTAACCTCTGCGACCTGTCCTCTCTAGGTCAGTCTAGCCTCTGCGACCTGTCCTCTCTAGGTCAGTCTAACCTCTGCGACCTGTCCTCTCTGGGTCAGTCTAGCCTCTGCGAACTGTCCTCTCTAGGTCAGTCTAGCCTCTGCGACCTGTCCTCTCTAGGTCAGTCTAGCCTCTGCGACCTGTCCTCTCTAGGTCAGTCTAGCCTCTGCGACCTGTCCTCTCTAGGTCAGTCTAACCTCTGCGACCTGTCCTCTCTAGGTCAGTCTAGCCTCTGCGACCTGTCCTCTCTAGGTCAGTCTAGCCTCTGCGACCTGTCCTCTCTAGGTCAGTCTAGCCTCTGCGACCTGTCCTCTCTAGGTCAGTCTAACCTCTGCGACCTGTCCTCTCTAGGTCAGTCTAGCCTCTGCGACCTGTCCTCTCTAGGTCAGTCTAGCCTCTGCGAACTGTCCTCTCTAGGTCAGTCTAGCCTCTGCGACCTGTCCTCTCTGGGTCAGTCTAGCCTCTGCGAACTATCCTCTCTGGGTCAGTCTAGCCTCTGCGACCTGTCCTCTCTGGGTCAGTCTAACCTCTGCGACCTGTCCTCTCTAGGTCAGTCTAGCCTCTGCGAACTGTCCTCTCTAGGTCAGTCTAGCCTCTGCGACCTGTCCTCTCTGGGTCAGTCTAGCCTCTGCGACCTGTCCTCTCTAGGTCAGTCTAGCCTCTGCGACCTGTCCTCTCTAGGTCAGTCTAGCCTCTGCGAACTATCCTCTCTGGGTCAGTCTAGCCTCTGCGACCTGTCCTCTCTAGGTCAGTCTAGCCTCTGCGAACTGTCCTCTCTAGGTCAGTCTAGCCTCTGCGACCTGTCCTCTCTAGGTCAGTCTAACCTCTGCGACCTGTCCTCTCTAGGTCAGTCTAGCCTCTGCGACCTGTGAGGAGGAGGAAGAGGATGATAATTATGTGTGTACACGTGCGTACAGCCCTTTAATATCCGGCCTCGTGATACAGAGGATACTGCACAGTGTCGTACCGTGGTGAATTATAGATCAAGCATAATAACAGGCACTGCTTACTGCCGTGAAGTCATTGTCTTGAAAGGCGTTTTTTGGGCAACTAGTCCATCCCTACACATCCAGCGTTCCTGACTCGAGCTTCTGTCACTGGGAGCTTGGAGAGTGTAAGCGATCAGTCCGCTAGAAGGAGTGGAGAAGGCTGTGCGGAGATCATGTTGATGGGTTAGAGAGTGTGTAGGGTCAGGTGTGAGCCTGGGGGATCTATAGGGGTAAACTGTGCTGAGAGCAGACGTCACACGGTCCGGTGAGATCACTAATGATGTGCACAAGAGCTCTCCTGCAGGTGATGTTGATGTGTGTGTGTTCCTGCAGGCTGCATATCCAGGTACTCTGCAGGAAGTGTGTATTATTACCCGTCGTACCACCGTCAGCACAGCCCGGCCCAGACCGAGCGCTTCCAGCGCGACCTGAAGAGGTACCTGACCCGCAAGATCGGCTTCGAGGCCGTCATGAGGATACGCTGCACCAAAGGTGTGTGTGTGCGAGTGTGTGTGTGTGTGTGTGTGTGTGTGAGAGTGTTTGCGTGCGAGTGTGACTGTGAGAGTGCGAGTGTGTGCGCGTGCGTGCGTGTGTAAGTGTGTGAGTCCGCATCAAACCTGACAAAACACACCTCCCCAGTGTCCACACACACCTTCCCCGTCTGTGCACACACACCTCCCCAGTGTCCTGGTCACTGACGCTCTGTGTCCTCAGGCCTGTCCATACACACGTTCCACGGGAACTTCTTTGTGCGCTCCACGGACCTGCTGTCTCTGGCGAACGTAAACCCGGACGCGGGCTTCGCTGTGCAGATGAGCATCGAGGAGAATCTGCTGGACCTGCAGGCCGTGTCCTTCCAGGCCGCGCTGCTCTACACCTCCAGCAAAGGTCAGGGCTCATGTGGTCTGAGGTCATGTGATCACCCGTGGTCTGAGGTCATGTGATCACCAGGTCATGTGACTTGTGTGTCTCTGTGCTCTTGCAGGCGAGCGCAGGATCCGAGTGCACACACTGTGTCTGCCGGTGGTCAACTCTCTGAGCGACATCTTCGCTGGAGCCGATGTTCAGGCCATCACTGCTCTCCTGGCCAGCATGGGTACACACACACACTATCTCACTCATTTACACACACACTCACTCACTCTCTCACTCACACACACTTACTCACTCTCACTCACACACACTTACCGTATTTTCCACACTATAAGGCGCACTTAAAAGCCTTTAATTTTCTCAAAAAACGACAGTGCGCCTTATAATCCGGAGCGCCTTATATATGGATGGTGAACACACATTCACCAAGACGGGGAGACAGCGCCGGGCGACTTACGCCACTATCTGCCAATGGATCGTGGATGCCTGGGCTGATATATCAGTCTAAACTGTGATCCGAGCTTTCATGAAGGCAGGAATAATCTCTTTATTCAGCCGGCTCACATCCCGTATTTACTTCCTGTTTTCGGCCGAAGTCCACAGTAGTCGATTGTCGAGTTCGCGCGCGCGATCAAACCTCCTCCGTGTGTTCAACATCTGATTCGGATGAACTATCCATTTGAGCTGATATTCTCAGAACACCACACAGCACCGTCATCGGCTGACAGCTGACAGTCTGAGTCTCCACTGTTGCTTAGTTACCAATGATCGCGCACTCGACAATCGGCTACTGTGGACTTCGACCGAAAACAGGAAGAAAATACGGGTATGTGAGCTGGCTGAATAAACATCATTTTTAATCATATCTTTCACATTTACTGCAGTCAGATTCACCGTGTTCACTCACATGGCTGTGCACTTGTAATGACACATTAAGGTTGTTAAGAGGCTAAAAGCAGGTTTAAAACTTGCCCCGTTTAAAGGTTCTCTAAGCGATCCTGGGTGACATCACTTCTTGTTGACGTTCGAACTATTGTCAAACAAAACGGAGGCTAGCTAGACCCTCCCTCCTCCTCATCCGCACACTAACCCCCCAAACCCCGCCCCCAAACCCTTCTTGTCGGTCATTGGCTGGAACAGTTTGTTATGTTTCGGGGAGCGGGTCGCTGCAGTTTGCTTTTGTTGCTGTTTGTGGAGCCTGGGCTGTCTACAGAGATCGCGTTTCTTTACAGTGTGTTCAGGGGACAGGCAGCCAGCGGATAGTGAGGAGATGTTTGCTGTATGTGACAAAAAATGTTTTGGCCTAAAAAACGCGTGACATCGCTTAGAGCACCTTTAAGTCAACAGGGTGCACATTTTAAAAAGAGGATAACACGATGTAGGCAACACCGGTTTTTGTCGTTGATATCTGTACTGACAGCACTCCAAATTTACAAAAAAATGAGCTCAATGTTAA